ATGATTTGAATGAATGGGAATGCAAGGGTATTTATAGGAGGAGTGGAGGGAACATATGGCTGTTTGTTTAAGCATTTGTGTGGAGGAATGATGGAAAAACAGCTAGGACACATGTGAAAACTGGAATTGCACAAGGGGGCCAAAGGGAACCCACGGCATGGATGGATTTGTGCATGTGTTGGCTGATTTTTGATGATTTTCTGGCTGCAATGATGAAGAATTTAATAAATAATGCATGTAGGTGATTGAAATGATGAAGAATGAGTGGTGGAAATGAAAGGGAAAGCTAGAAATGCATTGAAAGTGCACGGCACAAGGCAGATTTTTATGTTGGAAATGCATGTGCGTGCTGAAAATAGTGTGTGTATGCATGTGTTTGGGAAGCTTTCTTGCTCATTTTCTGGATGCAATGATGAAGAGTTTAATAATTAATGCATGTAGGTGATTGAAATGATGAAGAATGAAGGTGGAAATGCATGTGAGATATTTGGAAAGGAAGTGGGAATGCACGGCAAAGGAGTTGTTTTGTTGGTGTGTGAATGCATGTGACTTGTTTGTGGAATAAAGAATGAATGGTGGAATGATTAAGAGTTGCATAAAGAATGCATGTAGGGTTAGCTAGGTTGGCTTTGTTTGGGTGCATGTGTGTTAATGGTGGTTTTGCATGTGAATTGATGGATTGTTTTTTATGGAATGGATGGTTCTTTGCATGGCTTTTGAAGTGATTGTGGGCTTTGGAAATGAGAAGGAAATGCATGGCCTTGGGTTGGTTTAAGAGAGAATGGGCTAGGCCCTTTGTTTTATGTCCAAAATGAATACAAGGCCTTCAAATTCGTCCAACACTTTGGCTCCAATCATATGCTATCCATTCCAAGCCCAATTTTGCTCCAAAATGCTCCAAAATGCATCTTTTTGCTTCCTTAGCCATATGAACCTAAAAACACACGAAAATGGCTTAAACTACTAAAACAACTATGAATTAACAACATAGATGCACGAAAACAAGCTAAGTAAGTCGCCTAAATATGCTCCTATCAGCAATTCCGTAATACATATTAAAATTATAAAAACCATAATTTTTAGGGACGGGTTGTCACATTCCATATTTCTTTAGCATGCTCGCAATTAAGAAAAAGGTGATTTTGCATCTCATCCTCATTGCCACACATAGGGCACAATTTATTAATATTTTGAATGAATTTACTCAGTCTCATTCTAGTATGAAGTTTTTCATGAGTAAAAAGCCAAGTGAAAATTTTTATGCCCTCCTATTTTTCTATTATATTTTTGCGTAATACTAGGGAGACTAAATTTAGAGAGAAATTTTGCAAACTAAATGATGCGTCATTAATAAAAATGAGCACGTTTATCAACAATTAAGTAATAAACTACTTATTAACTTCTTTGTCCTTTAGTTTCTAAAATTTTGTCTACAAATTTAGCTGCCTAGCATTACTCTTTTTTTTTTTTTTTTTTAGTAGCACATAACTCTTTGTTATTATAAGTGTTAGAGAGATCAAAATTTTAAATTAACTTTGCAAACTAAATGATGTGTTACTAATAAGAAACAATTTTACAAAATATGTAATGGGATATGAAGGAAGAAAAGAAAGAAGAAGGGAGAATTATTAATAACATAACAATTTACTTGCAACGAATAGGTGATGATGGATTATGTTTCTTGAATATCACATGATGTGTGAAAAAGTATGAGGAGATTACAAGTGCTAAACTATTGAAATGGTCTTATCTTGATTGTAAGTGGCAACTTTGTAAATGACAAATTATCAATTGATTTTATCTCAGTTGTCTTAAAGTTTAAAGTGAATAAACTGTAACAATCAAACTGTTAACTGATTATATCCGAACTTTAATAAGTTTTACGTGAATAAATTAAATGTCAAATGTATAAGCTGGTTTCCTCTAATATAAGCGTTACATTAACCAATTTACCAAAGTATTTCTAAGCGGCTTATTATATAAAGAGTTGATTATAAATTCCTTAGATCGCTCCACTACAAGTGTACTCAAACATTTTTTCATCCCAAAGTTAGCCAAAATTTTGAAATGCACTAATAATGATTCGTTTACTAATCCATAACCAGAATGGGCGAAATTGAAAGGATCAACGTGAGGCGGAAAAGAGTAAAAAGAACCGGAAAACCCCCGAAAAAAGAGAAAACCCTCCCTCACTCATTCAACTTGCGTGTCCTTCCCAGCAGATCTCTTCCAGAACCCAGAAAGTTTTCTCAATCGGGGTTTTCTTTTCCTCCAAATCGTTACCAGGTTCATTCTCTGAAGCCCTCTTTGTTATATCTTCCAAATTTCAGTTTAATCAGATTTGTTTTTTTGTCCCATGGCCTTTGAATTTTGATTCTGCAATCTTCAATTCGGATGCTTCAAGTGTTTTTTGGAGTCTTTTTTGTATCTGGGTTTTGAGTAAAATTTCTTTATTTCATAGATAAAGATTTAATTTGCTGTATTTGTTTGATGTATTGTTTGTTAGACAAAATACTTGATTAATTTATTTGATCGGCAAAATGGCCTCTGTTGAGTCCTGCTACGCTAAATGGTGAATTAATAAGAGAAATTATATGTATTATTTCAATTACCCTTATATAACCATACCAACTTCGATTTCAAAAACAATTGAAGGGGATTTTGAGAAGTAATATCTAACAAACTGAGTAGTGTGCAACAGTCTGGCTAGCAATCCTTTCGGCCAACTTCTTAATAATTGACTTAGTGGTGTTTTGTGCGGGTCAGATTAAACCGTACGTATGACTTGTTTGATCCTTTGTGAACGAATGATACGATTTCTTGAATGCATGTTTACTTATTTCTCTCTGTCTCTCTCTGCCTCTTGTTCGAGTGATTTGAAATTCTAATTTCTTATTGCGTATAGTTCCAAGTATGCTAATGGTGCTGGTGATTCTGTAACACATAATTGTTTGGGAATGCGCTGCACATTGTTGTATTGGTTCTTTACATCATTCCACTAATCAATGCCTGATAGATTAGCTCCCCATCGTCCAACGCTTCTATGTTTAGAGATGTTTTCCGAGCCTGTTATTCGTTCTTGCTTCTCATTTTCCTCTCAGGCCCTTGTTTTCTTTTTATACGTTTCCTAAGAAGCTGGTTGATTGATATGTCAAACCTCTGTTTATAACCTTGTTTCTTTAGGTAAATTTTCCAAGTAGATTTGGCCATGTTTTATGAAGCGGAATTGCTCAGGGATGTGGCTGTCCTTGCTGAAAATCTAGACCGAGACAGACTTGTTTCTACAAGGTCCGTTGTCACACAGCTTTTGGAGGATTTGTTAAGGGAGAAGGCAGACAAGGACCTAGGATACTTTCTTGCAGTCACTGGCCTAAAGAGGATAGGAAAGGGTGAAGTTGTAGACAACTCAGGAGACGTCTTCTTCCCTGTAGTATTCAATTGTCGCATGTTCCTACCTTGCAAGGGAGAGATCTTGGAAGGAGTCGTTCATCACATATACAGGCTTGGGGTTTTCTTGAGATGTGGACCTGTTAAATATGTTTTTCTCTCCGCTCGGAAAATGCCAAACTTCCGCTATGTTGCTGGCGAAAATCCAGTCTACTTGAACGACGACCTTTCAAAGATAGATAACGATGTTGTAATTCGCTTCAAGGTGCTTGGAGTCAGGTGGATAGAGATTAGGGACGATATAAGGAAGGAGTTTGTGATGCTTGCCAGTTTAGAGGGCGATTCGCTTGGTCCCCTTACATTACCAGGTCCTGATGGACTGGATTTGTAATTCTTCAAATCAGATGAAGGTTTCTTTCCTCGTTGTAAATTAACTTGTGGGAAATAAATCTGAATTTTCTTTGTTGTGGACATGAGATTACCAAAATCATTTACTACGTATTCTTTATAAACATAAGAAGAATAGTACACGCATGGACCGTAGAATGACTTTCTGGATTGGTAATAACAGCTCTCTTAGCGACGTTTTCATTTGAAGTTTTGCATAAAACTTTGGGATGTTAAAATGCATTTGAATTTATTTGCACTTCTGCACTCAAATTTAAACCTCCATCTCTGTAAATTAAGAAAAAGTTGTTCAAAATCCCAATACAAGTCAATCCAAACGAACTCGCACCTAAATCCGAATTTATAAAATATATAAGTGGAATATTTTCTAAAAAATATGGAAGTGGAGTCAATTATATATGTGGCCGCGGGCAATGGAAACAGGTGGCAATTGTAGTTTAAGGTAGAGAGGTTTTTTTAAGTGCTAGGTATCAAGCGGTACTCCACATGTCATAATACAAGTGAAGAAAATAATATAATTTTTTGTGTCCCTTCACTTATATTATAACACGTGAAGTGACCACTTGAATACCTTGCATTTGAAACATTTCTCCTTTTAAGGCGTGACTAGGGATGTCAACCTTTTAGTTTGGGAACGGAAATTTCATATTCATAATATATTTTAACGATCTAAATTGTATACCTTTTAGAACATCATTCATATATCGTCATTGCGAAAAATTAAACAAATACAAAAATTTAAAATAGACCGTTTAAATCATTAAAATATATTACAGAATAAACTTCAAAAAAATATTTGATCAACGTTATGTAAAAAAGTGTTATCACGTAACAACCCTATTATATTATTTATATAATAAATATTATCGAGACGGATCAGAAGAAAAAGACGGTTCAAAAACCTTTATAAACATATTCAAGATCATAACGGAATATCATTTATGAGTTTCTGCGTACCTAAAAGATGTCCAAATTTTCTTCCCAAATTCGCACCATTTGAACGGTTTTCCACGGTAACGGGTTGAATTGGAGTGACACATAACGCATTCCAAAACAAACAAGAACCAAGGAAAGTGTGAAGAGTCCTCTTCTCCCAAGCCACTCGCCAGTCACGCAGTCTGCTCAGCTGGAGGAAAGGTATGTGCTTTAGCTTTTGCAAACCCTAATCTGTGTCCATATATGTGTGTGTATGTATATTTATATATCAATGTATATGCATTTTTGTGCTTGGATTATTAGAGTAATTGGGTTTCACATATGTTGAGAAATTGGATTTGGGTTTGTAGTTTTGTGAAATTTGACTTCACAGTGAGTCCTTGAGCGATGGGATTTTGTGGGTCTGGTACTGAAATGAAATGGAGAGGTTTGGAGAACATTCGAATAGATTGAACAGCTAATTTGTGGTTTCAGGACCTCTTTGCGTTAGAGATTGAGATAGAAGATCATTTGAGGGAATGGGAAAATGGGGGTTAGGGTTTAGGGTTTAGGGTTTAGGCCTGATTTAATAGTGATAGGTATGTCTTTGTATCAGTGCAGGAGTTCCGTTCACTTAGCAGCAGGAATGTACCTTAGTTTTCCACAACTAAACTGCAGCCAGTGATGGCCGGGTGGGTAAGGAGTAAATTTTCCGACCCTTCCCGTCCTTGCTTTGATTTATAATCTCCATTTTTTGCTCTCATTCTCACCTTCGGGAATGTGGGTGTTCCTGTGCCCTCCCCTCCACCCTTTTCTTAAAGATATTTCCTTATAAAGGAAACTGCTATATATACATAATATAGAAATAGTTTACATTAACAAACTTGATAAGTTAATACACTTTAAACAATATAAAATAAAATGAAAAGTGAAAAACTTAATAATTATACTTAACAAGTTAGTATGTTATATATTTTTGTGGACAAAACGGGCAAGGATTGGCCCGGATTGGAGATTTCTATTGCCCAAAACTCTGAATGAGGTAGGTTGTGCGGCCAATTCTTGAGGCATTGCTTACCGTCATGCAGAGCTCTGTAGTAGTCTGATGCAGAAATGAATGTGCAGACAAGATCAGTGTGTCTACTTTAGAGGTCTGTACGCTCGATTGTTTTCTTACACCTCTGCTCTGATCTTAAAATCTAAAATATATATGCCATTCATGACATGAGATAAGGATTGACAATATGTCGTATTTCGGGTTTTCTTTTCTTGGTAGGTCTTTATTGATAGTAATGAATGATGAATTAAAAAGGGGAGTGAGATGAGGGTTGAGGAACTGGGAAAGCATTCTCTATCAGCTTCTGTAACTTTACCTTTTTTCTGTCTATTTACTTTATAGAGAGAGATTCTTTTTTGTGGTATGTATAATAATTAATAATTCAGTTGCAGTGGTCATGTGATGATATGCATATGGTAAGGGGGATTGAATCCTATGATTTTATAGAGAGAAGTCAAGTGATAGAGTCAACTGAACATTGAGTCTTTGAGGCATGTGTAGAACCACGGGAAAGAGTTCTAGTAGGTAGATTCACTGCTGTCATGAACAAAGTATGGCCTATAGTTGAGCTGGTTTTGCTCACAAAGTATTTATTTTCCTCAAATCTGAGTATCCCGCTTCTTCAGAAAAGGGAAAAGGTTTGGGAAGACAATAGTGAGAATGAAATGTGAGAAAAGTAGTTTCAATGAAGATGGCGAAGGGAGAGCATGCATGAATGGCCCAGTGTGAGTTTTGGGAGCAGGAGAGAAAATTTGGGTAAAGACTATCTGAAAAGCTGACATTGTCAGTATCTAGTTTGTTATTTCTATAATCCTTTGTAGCCATCTGAGCGGTCTTGGAACAGTTGTGATTTAGTTGTCATTGTGCTCTGGCAGGAGAGCAGGATTCACTTGGTTCATTGTTTGGTTGCTCTTTACATGTCTTCCAAAGCTTTCTAGGTTTTTGCAGTTGTGATTTCGACACTCATGCACGTATATGTAATTAAGCCTTCTCTTAATTAAAGCTAGAAAACTGATTTGGAAACTTTGTTCTAGGTTTTAAATAATAATGAATCATCCAGAGATATTTTGGTAATATGGAGTGGTTTAGAAACTGGTCTCCTGCCTAATTATTTGTCCTCGCGGCAATCACCTTCTAGCAGGTTGTTACTTGCAGTTTATGCCCTTCGTGAACAATCTTCTTTCAGCTCATGATTTTTTACATTTATAGAATATTGACTGCACGCTAATGATTAACATACACATGACAAGGACAGTGTGTGAGAAGAATTTAGGGATCAGCTAATGTAGAATTTGGTTGCTGTTTCTTTCTTTGGTTTATGACAGGTTGGAATTAGCAGCCATGTTTCTGAAAGTACAGTTGCCCTGGAATGTTGTAATTCCTGCTGAGAGCTTGGATATGAAGGGTCTGATGCTCCAAAAGTCGATTGTTGTCCGCCTGCTGGAGGACTTTGCATCAAGAAAGGCAACCAAAGATCATGGGCTACTATCTTGCTCTCACAACTCTGGAGAGTGTAGGAGAGGGCAAAGTGAGGCAGCAGACTGGGGATGTTCTGTTTCCAGTTGTTTTTAGCGCTGTTACCTTCAAGCTTTTCAGGGGAGAGATCGCAGAGGGTGTAGTTCACAAAGTTCTGAAGCATGGAGTTTTCCTCAGTTGCGGCCCAGTTGAAAACATGTATCTCTCGAAGATGAAAATGCCAGATTACGATTATGTGCCTGGGGAGAATCCTGTATTCATGAACAGGAAGATGTCAAAAATTGAGAAAGGCACCACCGTACGCTTCATCGTCATCGGGACTAAGTGGCTTGAGGCACAAAGGGAATTTCAGGCTTTGGTTGGCTTGCATGCAGATTATCTAGGGCCAGTTTCTTAGATTGGTTTCCTTGGTAAGCAAATTGGACAAGTGTTGTTCCTTTCTAATGATGATTTAGAAATGTACAACTTTTAGCAATGCTGGCTGCTGATGCTGACCTTATTAGTCTGTCTTTGCTGTGTTAATATCCTTTTGTTTTTCTGTATGCACTTTACAAATCATCAATTTAGCTTTTTGCTTACTCTCTAAATTGTTTCCTTGAAACCTTGATGAACTGAATTTGTTGCGACCGAGTGTTTCCATCCGAGCCAATGGCGATCGCAACCTATCTGTGACGTCTATTGGCTGTTTTCATTCAAGAGAAGAGTAGCAACACAAAAAAGCACAGGGAGCTTTGAAACGGCTCACTTAACTTGTACTCTCTTCTAGCAACAAATCAACAACAATGTCAGGGGTTCCTCAAACGAGGAACAAGCACCATCCCCATGGAGAGCCTGCAGAGCAAGATGACGAGCAAATACCATTCGTTTGGCGGCGTGTGTGGGCAGAAATAGCTCCAGCTACCTGAGTCGGAAAAACCTTGGTGTCCCCCTTAGCTGCCCCCTCTCTGGTCGCAAGAGCTTCCACCTGCAGCGGGACATCATCACTATTAATGCAAAGGATTGGTCGTAGTGCGAATTTAAGAGCCTCCTAATGCAAAGGATTGGCCAACCAACGTAGGTGTTCTAGATTGACTGCTCAACCATACCAAGTCAAATTTGACTTTTTGGCTTTTAACTCTTGTGGATTAAAAAGGAATTTAATCAAATTTGGCTTTGTTGTAAAATCGACGGTGTGTGCAATGGAATAAATAAACAAGACATAAAATTTACAAGGTTCTTCTACAGTTAGTGTGGCTGGAGTACGTCCTTGGGGCAGTAGTGGTGCTTTCATTATAATCTGGAATAATAAGATTACAAAGATAACTCTTTCTATGGTCTCCTCTCTTCTTTCTTCCTCTACCAGTTGTATGTCTATTTATGTATATTTGCTCTCCTTCTTCTCATCCATTTTATAGACAAGGCTTTAGACAAAGTTGTGGTGGGATGAACAGTGGATTGGTAGTGGGATAGGTGGCCATCCACAATGAATGGCCTGTGAATTACAACACTCCCTCTTGGATGGCCACAAGTCTTCAATTGACTTGTTAAAATCTTGATCTGTTTTGGATGCTCCCCCTAATTTCAAATTCTTTAGGTTGATCATTGATCCTTCTGCTTTAATCTCTTAGCGGGGAGAGTTGCTGAATGAGGTGCTTTACTTGTTGTTAATTTTCCACAAGCTTTTTCTTGAATTAGGTTGTAGGACTTTCTGCTAGACTTGCACCAAAGGTCTGAATTTACTCCTTTTATCTGGAGCGGAATTTGATTCAAGGGTGGTGGACACTTGATCTTGAATCGGACTTGTGATTTCTTCAAGGTCCTTGGGACTTGTCCTTGAATGAAATGGAACCACGAGCAGCTCCACATGACAAGTGATCTTCGACTCCGTCGGGGATGAATTAGTTCGTGTTTTGTTGTGCTTGTCTCCACATGCTTCAATGTGTCATTTTCGCTTGCCTTATTTGTTCCCTTGCAGAAGTGGTATTTTCCCTATGCAGGTTTGGCATCTTCTCTTGCAGTATTTGTCCTCTAATGCAGGAGTGGAATGCAAACCTTGCATTTGAAAGGTCATTTAGAACATCACTTCTCAGCAACTCATCATGCTTGGCAGCTCCAATCATCATATAAGTAGTTTGCAAATGAGTACTTGAGAGCAATGCTAGGTAAGCAATCAGGAAAGTTTCCAGGCAGTCGATTCCCGACTGGAAGTTTGATTTCAAGTTCCGACTGATTGCTTTCTTTCTCCTTAGTCCTCCAGGTGAGAATAAGGACAAAGAAAAGGATAGGGAGACTGCATGATATGAGATGCTTTTGCTCTCGTCCCTGATGATATGAGATATTCTTACTCTGGTGTGACTTATTTGAAGAGGTATTCTCGGAGAGGAAGAAAACTGAGTATTTCAAGATGCTTTGTTAAAGATGCATTCTCGGAGAAGAAGAAGAGTTAGATATTTTTGTAGGTCTGCCTTGTTATAGAAGATAGAGGTCGACATATATAGGGATTTCCCAATAACAGGTAGTGGTGTTGTACCTTTACTCTTGTCAGCAACTGTGGTGTAATTAGAACAGTAAGATTCACGCGTTTTCAACTTTATCAGAGATCTTTGACAAAGTTGCACGTGATATCCAAAAGTTGAGATTGCGTCTGAGAAATGTTGACGAACTTTATCTTGAAAATTTGGCTTTTGAAATTCGGAGAGCGGTGTCTCTTCAATTTTTGAACATGTGGCCATGTTGCTTCTTCTTTTATAAAGGCATCAATTGTGCTCAAAATGTACGCTCGAAAAACTACTGCACGTAGAATTTTCCTTTTCTTGCACTTTTGAGATTTTATCTGACTCATTTTTGCTTCATCATTTCTGAAAAATGGCTTGCCCATCTAACATTTGCTTAGATTTAAGTCTTAAGAGTGGTACAGATGAGCCACGTCGGGATAATATATGGCGTTCGTCATTCTTATCTTTTGATGGTCCTCTTACGGTTGGGGACTCTGTGATGAAGAATGACCTAACTGCTATAGTGGTAGCTAGGAATCTTCTCGCTCCCAAGGATAACATAATCCTTTCAAACCGGTCTGATGAGTCAGCCGTTCAAGACTTCTTAGTATTCAATGTGCGGGCTCTATTTCTAATATGGGCCAACGCTTACTTGCTCAAACTCACCAAATTGAATCATTGATGGCTGAGGTGGCAAGTCTTAAACAAGAGATTAGAGGGCTCAAGCATGAGAATAGAGTGTTACACATGCTTGCAAATAATTATTCGACGAGTATGAAAAGAAAGCTTGACCAGCTACTGGAATCCGAAGGTCGGACTCAAAATGACAATCAGGGGTTCGAGTCTTTATTCCAAAGACACCCATTGTCTCAGCCGTCTGGAGTTTCACCAAGTACTGAAGCTCCAAATAATCAAACTCTGGTGCATTCCCCTTCTAGGGTACTTTCGAGTATTGAGGCTTCACATGAGCAACCTTTGTGAAGGTTCCCTCCTGTTTGTTTGTTTTAACTCAAGTGTATGTAATTTGTCGGAGATATTAATAGATAAGGTTTATTTCATTCAATGTATTGTGCCAAATATAATGAAGCATATACTTCACTATGATGTGGTACTTTTGGACCAAATATCAATTTGTCTTTACCTTCACGAAGATAAATGATCATTCTTAGTGTCTAAATAATTTGAGTATTCAACTCATAATCTTCAATCCATATGATTCTTTATAAACATCATGGATAAGATTCGTGTTGGCATATTATTCGATTCTGTAGTTCGAGACAATATCTCTCTCAACATTTTATAAACTTTCTAGACTCTTCAGGAGTCTAAATCTAATATTATCGACTCTTGCAAGAGATTTTAGTATGTTACAACAATATCATAATGATAGTACTCACTAAGGCAATATATACCATCCATTGGTATTTAAGTACATATTTTATGCTTTACCCTTCCAGGGTTTTCTTCAAGCAATCTGAATCCTTCAAGGATTTTCTACACTTCATGACACATTTTCCTTTGGAATTTATACAGAGCAACTTACTTCCATGTATATTTGAGGGATTTACTTATGGAGATATGATGTGGGCTACTCATAACCCTTCATATATAATTCTCCATTCATATGAACTTGTTTATAAGAGCATAATTTCAGGTTTCAATTAGTAACCTTGTGTCATATCATGTGAGTGTAATTCACTGTATTACAAATGCACATATGTAACCTCATTTGGTTCAACATCTTTTGGCTATTTGTATATACACACACACACACACACACACACACACACACACATATATAGGTCAATTTTTCCACATTCTTACAAGATTGTAATGGAATTGCCTTTCTCTATTTTTTGCAAATAATATTTCCTTTCATCGACGAACAAAAGAACGTGATTCAATATCAATATAGCTCATTGATGAATTTAGTAGCTACTTGTAAAAACCAAAATTACCATTGGTTGTCATCAATCATTGATCCCATATTCTCATGTGCATGCACATGCATAAAAGCTTTTCATTTCTTTGGATATCCATTGCCTATTCTAAGGCATTACACTTTCTTCCAGGATAGTCATAATTTAGAGAATCCGGATCATAACCTCCTCTAGAGCGTTATAGAGCTGGGATTTTAATCTCCACTTCCGGGGGTTGAGTCATTGGAACCTATATGTCTATTATGCTTCATACATGAGACATCAACATTCCCATGTCCGCGGATTGTCCTTTTTGGGACATGTATCCATACGGCGACTGTCATGCTTCCGGCATGCAAAAGTTATGCTTTGGGAATGCAATAGTTTAGTAGTGTCATATTCTTCTTCTTTCGAAGTACTGAACCTTTTGAATCTAAGGGTTTGCCATGCTTTAGGCGTGTAACAAATTTGTTACCACATTATTTTGTCCAATAGAAACATCAATTCATGTAGGCATATTTGCAACAAGTATATGTGATTTTATTACTTTCGTTGCATCATTAAATGCATCTGGCATTTGATTTGCATATCATTGCATCATTCAATTATTCTCACTTTATTTTTATATTGATTGCTTCATGAATCAAAATAAGACAAATTCTCTTCGTTCTTCTGGAACGGTCTTTTCTCATCATTCTTCTGGAATGATATTTTCTCATCATTCTTCTGGAACGATGTTATTTTCTCCCCCTAACGGCGGGAAAACTTTCTTATCAAAATCCTAGTCTGCAAGCTGCGCGGTAAACATATCCTCAGTCAAGGGTTCCAAATGTTGAATGATAGATAGTGAATCAAATTCAACATAAATTTCCAGTTTGCCTTTAGGCCTCATTTTTAGTACATTGTGGCAGTGCAATAGGCACATAGATTACATAATAAAAAAAAACTCGTCAATGTGTAATGTTTGGCTAGTGCCCAAACACAACTTGTACTGAGAAATATTGACGGTTGGTAACAGGTCTCAACCAAACTTAATAATGAATTATGTATAATGGTATGTCCACATGTAGAAAAACTTGCAATCTCATTTTCATGAGCATTGCATGGGTAATCAATTTCATCCGCTTAATAAATGCTTCTGCTAAATCATTTTTGAGTATGAACATGAGGAACATGGTGTTCAACATCAATGCC